CTGGCGTACCGCGCAAAAGACGCTTCCAATCCGTTTTTCGGGAAGAAGGTGTTGGTGCTTTCGGGGAAGGAGGATAAACTTGTGCCGTGGGTGGCGTCGGCCGAGTTTGTGGATGGTCTTGAAGTTGGAGAGGGGGGTGTCAAGAGGGTTGTGGTGGAGGAGGGGGCGGGGCATGAATGTACGAGTGGGATGCGGAGGCAGGCTGGGTCATTTGTGAGGGAGTGGTTGAGGTTGTGAGAGTGCTGTTTAATTTTTGGGACGAGAGTTGTATTGAAGGATGTATTATGAATCTTGATTCAGAATGTTTGTACTATCGTTGGGCCAGAGTTGCAAAATCTGAAGACCTCATTTTCATATCTCAATAACTACCCCACATTGAGACAAAATAATTACATGGAATTATAGCTACGTGTGTCATAGGAAAGCTCTAGTTGACAGAAGAACAAAAGGTATTTAAAAGATGCTGCCAGAGGGATGCCGACGCAAGATGTTAGAAATAGTAGAGAGTTGCAAAATTTCCCATGAGCGGGTTGGCGTAGATGTCACACTATGTCACAATGTCAATTTCATGAATATGAACCCCGATCCGGCAACCGGTACGTATGAGACGAGAAAGTAGCAACATTGGCATTAGGATGATTGCAGCGCGAGAGTCCGCAATCAGAATTGATTCTCCGCCCCAACCTGTCACGCTTGAGCATTCTTTGACACCAGTGATTGCATCGTCAATAACAACCACAACTCTGCTCTATTCTCATCGAAAAAATGCTCAGAAGGTAAGGGTAGGTATAAAGTGTATGTGAAAAAAAATGAAATTTTTTGGTTAGAAACTTCGTCTTCCCCTAACTATTCTATGCGAAACAGGTGACTTCGAGTGATAGATTTGAAGCTGTACATGTTCCTCATACTTATTTTTTTATAAAAAAAATACAATGCTATGAATCTGTGTTGGAAGGTCCTAGATCCAAGAATAGAGGACTTAAGATGTGTTGTTGCATGAGCTATGAAGTGTTTTGCAACTCTATACAATTTTGCAACTCTGGCCCAACGATAGTAGTGGTACTCAATTCAAATTTTCAAACATTTCAAAACTTGCTTAAACACTTTAAACTCCCGGCTAAAGTTCAACAAATTCGGTGTCATGTGCATCAATTCAAAGTCAGGCGAATTCTGCAGGGCGGACTTTGAAACACAATGCCTCCCACTCGTCAACGTGCACATCATTCTGCAAGACTTCGAGCTGATGCTTGAGTGCACTTGATGGATCCTTCAGCACTCTCTGTAGCTCTCTCTGAGGGACAATCCAAGGTCCCTTCTGAATCTGGACCACGATTAACCATACAGTGGCATAATGAAACTGCCCTAACGGATGTCTTGGTGAATTATCTAACATCTCACCCTGCTGATTGTAGGGTGCTCTTTTATTCTGACGGGAAGAAGGCGATGTCCCCCGTCAATGACAGCCCCTCAGGCTCGGACAAAGGCCAAATCTGTAGTGTTATCGCTAAACTTATCTTCACTAATCACCCCAAATATGGTCACGCATATCACGACAATCAGAAGAAATTCCGCGACGCAACCAACAATCGCATCAACAAGTGAGTTTTCTTCTCATTTTTATATTCATACATGTGCTAATGGAATCCCTCAAGTCTCAGAACAAAGTACAAGAAGATGAAGGCTAGATTTGGTGACACAGGTGCCGGCGTGATGCCGCTTGATGGGACGGCTGCAAAAAATCTTCTGGGTGCGTCTTTTGTCTTATTTTGTTCTCAGCTTATTTTAATCATTTTATCGTGTTTGTAGACTCAGTTCTTTCGGAGTTTCCGTGGTACACGGACCTCGATGGAATTTGGCACTCCAATCCGTCGTTGGCTGCAAGGACTTATTCCTCCAAGCCTGGCGTTGATCACGCCGGCTCTTTCTACTCCCTGGTTCAACCGCGCGGTGGGGCTGGACCCTCCACATCCTTTGGCGCTTCACCCTCTCCCACACATGTCAGCGCTACACCATCCGCTAACGCTCATGATGTGTCTCCCCAGGCACGTACATCAGATCCTCAGACCCAGGCGCATACATCAGATCCTCTATTTTACGGCGATCCCCCCATTGACCCACAACTCCTTCAACCTCAGACTCTTGCTCCCCCCTTCACACCCCCTCAGATACACCTTCCCGGCCTGCGCAATTCCCCCGATGTCACTATCCTGGATGATTATTGTCCTGACTCCGGGAGTGGCCCGCTTAATGCCCCCCTCGGCAATGCACTGGACTACCTCGATGACGACGATGAAGAAATGCTCGACGATACTGGTGCCGGTAGCCCTCCCCAGGTCGTGGGGATGAAACGCCACTTCGCTGCATCCCCTTCACCTCCTCCTGACGCCCCCCAGCCGTTCACAATTCGCACCAAGCTCCCAACACCAATATACGACAGTCGCTCGGCATTCGGCGCTCACAAGCCGTCAAGCTGTGGAGCACGACGCAAAGGGCCATCGGACATGGCCCGCAGCATGTCTACACCCTCCTCGATAACGCGTAATACAACACCGTCGTCGGACTACATCGTCTCTCCCACCCCGCAGACCTTGCTGCCCAACAGTGGGGGCAGCTCGAAAAAGAAGGCAAGGTCGGATGTCCAGGACCAGGTAGGCCTGGTCCGGGACGAGATCAAGAGCCTGCAGTCCGGCGCCCTGTCATGCCAGGAGAGCAAGCACCAGCGCTATCTCGCGAAGCTGGGTGCGAAGAGCGAGCACTCCCACGAGACGAAAAAGTACGAGTGGCTCCGCGACACTCGTGCACACGAGGCTAGTCACACTAGCCTCGTCCATCAGCGCCAGCAGGAGGACAAGGACGCCGAGATTCGCCTTCGTGAGGTGGATATACGGGTGCACGAAGTGCATTCACTTGTGCTCGACAAGGAGGCCGAAACCCTGCGGCTCAAGATACAATACCATCAGATGATGCAGGGCAATAAGGCCCCAGGGTTGGATTGAGCTTTGTGAGTTTGTCATCGTTTTGTCGTCGTCGTCATCATCATGTTTCGTTTGTCACTGTCATGTTTTGTTTGTCGTCGTCATCTTTCATTTGTCGTCGTTGTCTTTCATTTGTTGTCATCATGTTTTGCTTGTCATTGTGAGTACTTCTTGTGATTGATGTTACATAGCTACATACATGTATGATACATATTTATTTGTGGTAGTACATGTCAAATTGAATCTGAGAGGAATTATTCAGCCCTATGTTGTGCATTTGAGTGAGGACTATCAAAGAGATCATCCATCAGCTTTGCACGAGCAGCCTGACCTGGAGTGCCATCATATGTCCTGTCACCAATGACCTCATCACCATCTGGACCCTCAAGCTCCTGAACAAAAAAGTCTTCCCCCTCTTCATGAGCCCACTTAAGAGAGCTTTCATATGTTCCATCTTCCTTGCGACGATGAGTTTCAAAGCGAATAATCATGTTGTGCAGGATAATACAACACTTAATCCACTGCACCGCAAAATCAAGGTCTTTCTCAGCCTGAATGCGGAAGCGAAGCTCTCAAAGGGACTGGAACCGTCCCTTCAAGACTGCAAATGTGTGTTCAACACGAACACGAACCTAAAAATAAATAAATTCATTGAAAATCCAGAATAAATAAAAAAACCTTGGAGAGATGATAATTGAATGTCTTCTGGTCCTTTGTCAACCGTCCATTGCGAGGCTTCTTGTAGGGAACAATGCACCATGGCTCCAATGGATATGCACTATCCGCCCAAATCCAATGACCATCAGGCAGAAGATCAGCATGCTCTTCATAGAGGCAAGTAGATCGGAAAGCGAATGCATCATGGACACTCCCGGGATGACCAAGGGAATAATCCACAATAAGGAGGTTGTGGGGCAAGATGACAGCCTAAAATTAAATCAATTTTTTGAATATGAAAGGGAAAAAAAAATACCTGACAGCCCAGGGAATACCTGGATTTCCTATCATAAAATGTCTCCCCATAATAGCCTGGTTTGGTGAAAAGATTCATGGTCGAGCCATCAATGGCCAAAAAGCCACCCTTCCACTCAGGACAAGTACGTGACTCGGCAAATTTACAAGCCAGGTCAACATCCTCAGAATTAGCTGCTGGGAAGCAGATAAACTGATCATGGGCATCGAGCACCGCAATCATCACACGATTAGTGCAATTAACCACAGACCCAACACTCACACCTGCCCATTGAGCGACATCCTCTAGAGTAATGGCGTTACCATAGTGGCCTGCCCGATTCAGAAAAATAGCGAGCTGGATGGAGATGGGGAGCTGAGGATTGTTGGATTTGCTTTGGAAGATAGGGTGATCAGAGATATAATCGAGAATGTCATCGAAGATCTCAGGGCTGACACGAAGTTTCTGCCGAAATAAGTGAGGGCGATGTTCCTCGTGGTGAATGAGCATGTGAAGCTGGGGTGCTCGTGGAGGAGGCTCGTCGGGCTTGTGGAGTACACGAGCCCTCTTAACCTCATCACGAAGTGCATCAATCGTGTCCTGGAGCCTGTCGTAAGGCAGTACAGAATCATCGGAAGATACAGAATCATCACTGGAAAAATTGGATATCCCTGTCATAGGGGAGAGGGGGGAGGGGGGGGATGAGGAGCTAAAGGATAGACTGATGGTATCATCATCATCCGAGGTGCTAGAAAGCGAATCCTCAGAGTCAGAGTCGGAATCGCTCTCAAGGTCAGACCAATCGTCCAGGATGTCCTGGTACTGTAGCTTGGCCAACAAAAGTGTGGCCTGATCAACGATATCGAGGAGTTCTTGGCGGGTAGATGGACGAGGCATAGTTTCAGTAGGGCAGTAGGGCAGTAGGGCAGTAGGGCAGGAGTCGAGGGGATCAAACCTCCCATCCATTTCATGCATATGTGACACACTTTTTGTCGGAGTTTGAAATTTCGGCAAATTCCGAAGTTCCGTCTCACACTGAGCACGTTGGTGCCGTCGTTGACCTCACATCCTCCATGCTCACCTGCAGCACTGAGCAGGACATAATTCAAGTTTCCAGGTGCCATCCACCCAAAGTAAGTGATTTTTGTGCTTATTGCAAGTTGTAGCTTACATTCACCCTTATCTTACAGGAAATCTATTCTAATCCAGGTCCCACACACATCCCACCTGACCAACAACACCTTATCTTTATGGGAGAGCCGCTCCTCCATCCCTCACTTCCCACCATTGACAACTATGACGAGTTATATCCTTTACAGCAGTGGGAAGACCCAGGCGCGTACATCAGATCCTATCCTTCACAGTGGTGGGGAGACCCAGGCGCGTACATCAGATCCTACCCTTCACAGCGGTGGGGAGACCCAGGCGCGTACATCACATGTTCAGACCCAGGCGCATACATCAGATCCTCAGGTCCCTCCACATCCTTTGGCGCTTCACCCTCTCCCACACATGTCAGCGCTACACCGTTCCCTAGCGCTCATGATGTGCCTCCTCCCACTATAGGTCCCTTCCCACATGTTGCCATTGCGCCCTCCACTGGCGCTCATTATGCGCCTCCTGGTGCCCTTGGTAGCCCTTCCCAAGTCGCGGGCATGAAACACCACTTTGCTGCATCACCCGCTCCTCTTCCTGCCCCCCCCCCCAACCATTCGAAATTCCCACCAAACCCCCAACGACCCGCTCTCAGTCCATCTCATCCTCCTTCCCCCAGCACTTATTTGTTCCATCCGGTACTTCCTACCTATAGCTGATTTCATTCTTGCGGAGTGGTTTTTTTTACAATTTTATTAACGCAGTCATTTGAAATACAAGTCTTTTTGATCCTACTTGCTACCCATGATGAATCTATGCCCCGGCTACTTTTGCTACTCTAAAGCACAACTTTCCCCTCTGTATAGCACGCTTTGAAAATCCTAAGTGTTTGAATGTCCGACTTCGTGCCGACGTGTGCCGAGCATGATTCAACTGTTCTTACGCGAGTTTGTTGAAGCTTTAGCCGGGAGTTTAAAGTGTTTAAGCGAGTTTTGAAATGTTTTAAAAGTTGAATTGAGTACCACTGGGTGACTATCCGTAGGCTGAAATAATGCGGAATAAAATAAGATAGAATAAAAAAGACCATATAAGGAAGTCGTGCCGCGATGCCGCTGTTCATTTGCATCGGATGTTCAAAACATATTATTTTGAGGCTCTTACAAACTCTAAATCTAGAAGGGGGGGGGGGCCCCCCCCTTACAGATTAATCCGGATTATAAACGACGGATTAAATCCGTTTTGGGCCACTACGCCTAAGCTATCTGCTGACTAATCCAAGACTTGAGGTCCGCCTGACACATGTTCAGCATGGCGAAGGTCGCCACCTGATCCAAACATTTTCCAATATACGCAGTCCCATCCCTGAGGTCCCTGGCGAAGTTTTCAGCTGAAGTTTTCGATGTGGGTCAGGAAGTAAGTGGGCACGACAAAGGTACAGTCGCTTAGGGTTCCGGGTTTCGACACGATCAAGTCGAGCTAGCTCTATTCCAGCGACGAGGGTAGCTGCTAGCATCCTCGCGTCTTCTTCGTCGTCGAGAAAACCCATCTCTTCTCCGTCGTTCACCAGATTGTGGTACTGTAGTAGCAGGTCGTCCATTGCAGTTTTGACCGAATTATTTTAATCCAGATGCGTTACGGTTGTGTTTTCTGTACATATTAAATTTTGCTAATATCTTTCAAAGTCCGTTATAATCTATTCCGCATTATTTTGCCTACGGATAGTCACCCACTAGTAATTATAGTAGACATTGACCGAAAACCACATTACGGTTGATTACGTCCTTGTAGTGTGCAATCATCATCACGCATCACGACTGCATCCGTATTCCAAACCGGCGAGACTTTGCTTTCCAGTCTACGTGAGTAGGTGGACATATCAGGTGCTCTTCGACGGTTTTTACACCATGAACACGTGTATGACATTGTTGACGCCGAAGGTGTTTGTGTACCCACCGCTTATCTCTGTGCGCTCAGGCTTTTCCCAATTCTACTGGCTTCAACGTCGGGTCCAAATACTTATAGCTATCACATCTCATGTCAAAGGCATCAAGCACTGACGGTAATGAGGACCAGCGCGCCAATACCAGCGAGCAGCCTTCCCTAGAACAGGATAATCCAGAACCCCCGCAGGATTCAGAGTAAGTTGCGGTTTCCTGGGATCTGGCACCCGTATAACAGGAAAGTAGCGGACCTTCAGCGATGGAGCTACGATCAGTGACGTGAGTGATTCTTCCATGATGTTTGTGTGCAACTCCTCATCAGAACTGCAGCTCGAACATTGGGCCTTCCAAGTCATCAGAACATCGCGAACAGGAAAATACTTCCAAGGCTTCATTAGACGACTATTTACCTCCGTAAGTTCCTATCAATGGTGATTTGGATCTCAAACAAGCTCATGAATTGTCTCAGCCAGGCAAAAAATGTTGTTGGGAAGAAGGACCAGCCAGATCCGAGTCTCAACGAATTGTGAGTGAAAAATAAGCCGAGCTATCGCAGCTGACCACATCCTACACCCAGAGCAGATGTCATGAAACAAGTATTGGATGTTCTCCAGGACTCGACAATTGCGTCGAAGATTGGCAAGGACGATCGGTCTCGTTTCTGGGGGGTGTACAAAAGAGTCGCAGAGGAACACGACGACGAGTTCCTCGAGCGATACACTACTGACATGGACATCGTCTTGATCTTTGTAGGTTTAGCGTGCTTATCTTTGACGCGTTCTGAGACTGATGTCTGATCAGTCTGGTCTTTTCTCCGCTGTCAGCACGTCTTTCATCGTCGCGATGGAGTCCAATCTCAGTCCCGACCCCAGCGACACCACGAATGCGCTTCTGAAGCAACTCGTGCAGATAGGACTCGGCAACCTCGCTCAGGCGGGCCCCACTCCAAAAGAACCAGCATCTACGTGGTCGCCGTCAGAGTCGACTCTGAGGATCCAAATGGTCGTATATGCAAGCTTATCCATGAGCTTGCTAGCAGCATTCGGGGCCGTACTGGGAAAGCAGTGGCTTGGGTACTACAAGTCGAATAGATATGGTCGCGGCTCGCAGGAAGAACAAGGCAAACGCAGACAAGAAAAGTTCGACGGCCTCGTCACATGGTATTTTGATGCCGTCGTGCAATCCTTTCCGGTCTTGCTTCAGATCTCCCTTCTTCTCTTTGGAATTGCCCTCGGCGCCAAGATGTGGTACGAGCAGCCCAGCATCGCCTGGGTGATTATTTCCACGACGGTCTTCGGATTTCTGTTCTATTCGCTGACAGTGATGGCATGTTTGATATCTCCGGCCTGTCCATTCCAGACACCAATGTCGACAGTGCTGCGTATGTTGCGCATCGACAGTAAGGCCATTTTGTAATTTTGATGGTCATCATTTTCAGTCTCAATCAATATTGCAGGAGTTCTGCGCTCGAAGTTCGAACCAGCCTCCAGGAATTTGCAGCGGCTCGCAACGTCAACGGATGGTGAGGCACGTTTTCTTACATATGCTCATATGTTGACCGTTTCTTGTCAGGCGTGCTGCAACCATTGCTTGCTACCCTCAGCTCAAGCTGGGCCCGATTTTCCGAAGCACTAGCAGGTGACATTCTTGTCTACTCTTCCACAGGATACCCAGTGCTCATCCCACTCTACAGGCCCTATTCGTGCCACTTGCGCATTCGCACGACGTTCTCTTCAGCTGTTCTTTGCTGCGCTTCACAAAGTGCTGCGTTCTTTGCTTCCGCACTCTTTGACAAATGTTGTAGACCCAGAAGCACAACCGCTCGACCAGGGTCTGGATGTTTTGGCGGAGAATGATGACACCCTTACCCTCGACCTCCCGGACATACCCACCTGCGATCTCGAAGCGACTAGCGTCAAGTGGCTACTGGAGACATCTACGGATCCTGAAGTATTTCTCGCTGCTGCCAGGCTTGTTCCGCAGGTGGAATGGCCCCTGGATCTTGACGTTTCAGACATGCTGCATCAGCTGTCTGATATTTTTACGAGCTGCGTCGACATTCAGGGGCGCATCGTACCGTCTTTGGAGGAGAAAGCCTCGGCATGTACAATAGCTCTAACTCATCTATACTATGAATGTGTTCTTCAGGCACATCCTATCCGCGACAATTTTTCCGCCTGGAGGATGGACTCGGATGTGTTTCAAAGGATTTACTGGGCGGGGATGTACAGAACCGAGCACATGGTGCTCGGCACGACTATACATCTTTGTTCATTTCTGAATACCAGTGGGTCTCCGTGGTATTTTTCTTGGCCGGAAGCTTGCCCCGACTCTGTCCCTGAGCAGCTGTCACATCTTCTTCCTTATCACTTTGTTACTGGGTCAGTGAATAAAAACATAGAATACCTCGCGGTAACGGTGATATCAAAATTACTATCCTCTCCATCGTCTCCGTCGAATCAAATCGTAGCCAACTGTACACTTCTTGCTTGTGTCATGCTCGGGACTCAGGTTGACAAGAAAGACATAGTTCGGATTGATAAAAGGTGACATCGACTCATTTGGTATTTTTTCGACCGTAACTAACAAACATATTACTTAGCTCTGCTTTGCCTCGACTCAGGGTGTCCCTATTGGCGCAGTTCCAAAAGGCTCTTTGGGCATGGGATGGAGGCGAGCTCGACGAAGATAGCACAGGAATTGCATGCCGGGCATTGAGTCTCCTCGACATTATCTGTCGCATTCTTGAGCTTGCTGGATATCCATATTATCCTTCATTACCTCCACTACATACCACGCGGAACCTGGACGTGTGCAGGAATATTTTTTTGAGAGCAAAATCATCTGAACACAACCATCCCTCGGTTTCCTTAGCAGCTCTGCGAAAGGCACTGCACTTCACGTTCGCTACTGCCACAATATCTCGGGACCATGACCAGGTGTGGGATGAGCAGTCTTGGTTGGAAGGCGTACCCCACTCGCCAGAAGACTTCGACTGGATGGTAGACTATTTGGACTTTATCTATTCCGACGACCACGAAGCGGCATATGACATCCTTTTGGTACTGGGTATTATGGGAGCGTGCTGTAGCCCCGCTAAACAGCATCTATTCATCGAAAGGCTCATCTCCTGCATGGACAGTGACATGCCCATCTATATACGCCATGCCGCTCTTCGCGCTGCTCACAGTGCCCGAGAAGAAATAGCCTCGATCGATGCCATTGATGATGCGAGGCTACGGGACATAGTTTTGACCAAGCTCTCCCCCGCTATCCAGTCCGTGCTTTGTCCACATCCAGGTACAACACCCGCCGATGATGATCCTGACCGCTTTTTCAATTATGGCCGCGACTTGTGCTATCTCGAACTGGTCTTTGCCCTCGCAAGGAATTCTGACTGGCACCCCCATTTGTTTGGGGATCGCCACATAGACCGGTGCATTAGCATGATTCCAGAACACTGCGGTGCCGGCTACAGCGCGCATGCCTTTTACATAGCTGGAATCCTCCTTAGTATCGCACTTAAACAGACGTCGGTTACATCACTCAGTTCTGTCACAGAGCAGCAGTGGTGGGACGTGACGAGAAGCGCGTGGAACTATATTCCAGGTGATTTTTACAACACACGCCGTTTCGAGCACCTTCTTGTTCTTGTGCATGGCACAAAGAAGTATGTGCAGATTGCTTCAAAATCTGATCTCGAGCAGTTCATCGAACACGTGGATAATTTTCTCGAACGTTTAGAGCGGGAGATGGGACCAGAGGTGCAAGGTTTAGAGCAGGGAGAGGGGATCACCATCGCTGCGAAAGAGTTGAGGACTGCAGCCAGCAACATGCTGGAGAGCTTTGGTCAATAATCATCAGTCCCCTAATTATGACGGTGTTTGCATGCTGTGTTAGAGCGGAAGTCATTGGACAGCGCATGTACGGAAGCGCGAAGTATTAAGACCTGAACGAGACCGATATTGAATAATCGGTCCTCTCTAACTTGGTAGACCCGTGTCGGGCGTGAGGAACAACAGGCATGAGATGCAGATATTCCGGAGACCAGCATGTAAATGTTGACTGGTGGAGGGGAGTTGTTCTACGGGGACGAAACTAGACACTGTCACTGATAAGGTTTTGCGCTCGGCTGCCCCGGTCACATCCCTTCATTAATATGCACAGGAAGACGAATATGGGACAACAAACGCAGGCTTATTCATCTCCGTATCACACTCGACCACCTTCCTCGTCCTCAGGGAACGGATGATTGTGGAATGGGGTAGAGGCAATGTGGACATTTGACGCAGGTTGCGCTTTCTAGAAGTCAGTATCTAGCTACTTCATGCACACTCATAGACACTCCAAAAACCCCGCCTCACCCTCTGAATCCCCCACATCGTTTAAAACATACATGGAAACGGATGATCTTGCACAACTGGCGTACCGCACCAAAGACGCTTCCAATCCGTTTTTTGGGAAGGAGGACAGGCTTGTGCTGTGTATGGCTTCGGCCGAGTCTGTGAAGAGTCTTGGAAGTTGGGAATGCTAAGAGGGTTGTGGAGGAGGATGGTGCGGGACATGAGTGTACGAGTAGGAGGCTGGGATGTCTGAGAGAATGGTTGGGTTGCGAGGCCACGTTATCTGTTTTATTTTGGGTATGAGAATTGTGTTGAAGGTTCCAGAAATATGTATGATATCATAACACGAGTTATCATATAGGTCTATGTTGACCAAAAGCCATATTACAACCTGAATCGTGGACTGGGCCCTAGTGCGCGCATCCGTCATCTCACATAACGACGACCATACGGAACCTCGCTTTTCAGTTTGTGGATATATCAAGCAGGTAAAGCTCTTCGACGGTTTGGGGTAGAGCAAGGAGGATACAGGGCTTAGTGAGCAAGAGGCGCTCGTTCTGCGCACATGACTTGTCTATCTTTCAGATTTGGCGTGCGAAACTTTGAACTTAGGGGAGCGAGAGTGATCCGAAAATGATAACGAAGGGCTCCACCAAGAGCTAAAGGAGCTCCATGTGCGAGTGAGTTATGCCTCGAATTGGAGTCCTAGGGGTATCGAGCAGAGTGAACCCAACCCTAACCTAAGATTACCAATAACAAATCATTGGTCACCGATATTAATCAAATAGCAGAACTCTGGGGATAAAAGCCAGCTTGGATACTCTTAATCAAAAAAATCATTCTTCCCCTTCTAAATCTCACTACACTTACTCGCAATGCCTGAAGGTACCATGAGAGCTCTGTGGTACAACAAGGTACCCATCCTCCACTACCGTTACCCTCACCATCGTCTAACCTAGCGACAGCCACAAGACTTTGAGATTAAGCAAGTCCCAATACCCAAAGTCGGTGACAACGATGTTCTCTTGAAAGGTACCTTTTCACCACCTTAACAATAATACTCATTTCCTAATCACCAAAAACCCTAGTATCATGTTGCGGTCAGTAGTATCCACACCACACCCTCTCGAACCCACCGTAACCACATCTTCTGCATAGGTGTATGCGGCACAGACGGACACATTCACGACGGGGAATTCATATCCACATTCCCGGTCAGTCCCCCTTATCGTCAATGACGTCACTCCCTATTAAGCTTATCACTCCCAGCTCATCCCGGGTCACGAAGCTATAGGAAAAATCGTCGAAATGGGAAAGGACGTCACAGGTTTCGAGATCGGCGACCGCTGCGTTGCTGACGTAGGCCAGACCGTAAGTCACACTCCACATTCGAAGCAATCCCCTTACACTATAAAAATCTCAGTGCGACAACTGCTTTTACTGCAGACGCGGCAATTCCCTCCTCTGTGAGAACTTCAACGCCAGAGGCGTCACTCTTGATGGTGGCTTCGCCGAATACATCGTATAGTAAGCACAACCCATCATTTCCACGCGATTCTCATTCCGAATTCTAATTTCATATCTCAGCCCACAAAAGAAGCTATACAAGATCAAGAACCTCACAGACGAAGAATCAACCCTCTTAGAACCAGCCGCATGCGCAATCCACGGCCTCGACAAACTCAACCCACCTGTCGGCATCGAAGTCCTCCTCCTCGGCGCAGGACCCACCGGGCTCATCCTCGCTCAGCTCCTCAAGCTCAACGGCGCCTCCCGTGTCGTCATCGCCGCCAACAAAGGCATCAAGATGGACATCGCCCGCGAACTCGACGCTGGTGATGAATACATCGAACTAGACCGCCAGAACCCCGATGCACAGTGGCAGAAACTCAAAGAAGATAATCCATATGGCTTCGATGTCGTGGTAGAGGCTACTGGCGTGGAAAAGATTGCCGACATGTCGATTGGATATGTGAGGAGGGGTGGGACGTTGATGATTTATGGAGTCTATGAGAATAAGGCGCTCGTTCATTGGCCCCCGTCTAAGATCTTCGGGGATGAGATTACTGTGAGTTTCTTATTTATAACTTCGATATGATGCTGATGATGCGCCTATCCAGATCATTGGTTCCTTCTCGCAGACATACTGCTTCCCACGAGCAGTCGCATACCTCGATAGCGGAAAGGTCAAAGTCAAGGGAATGGTGACGGATGTGTTCAAGCTCGAGGATTACCAACTGGCCTTGGACAAGATGAATAGCAGAAAAGCAGTGAAGATCGCGATCAGGCCATGAGCACAGGTCCGTATCCTGCGCCCTTCATCGTCACGACGCACCTGCAACAAGTAATACCTTGTACTTTATCCTTTATCTGTATCTTATCGCAACTCGACACCGTATATGATGCCCATCTCTGTGTCGTCAAGTCAACGTGCGACTCCCAATTCACATATCATGGCGACACGACACGACACGATGCCTTCGACTCTGTAAATGTGTAAATGACACAACTGCTATAACACATCAAAAGGAGACAGTGCGCTGAATACTGAGTGAGCCGCATGCGTATGATAGAATCAGCATGTTGCACCGTGCCTATTCTATGATACGAATGCGCCTTGTTGTCCGGTGTTCCTGTAGGCTACTATAGCCAGTGTTGTGTAGGTGTTTCACTCCCGCACGCAAGGCCGGTGGTGGGTGATAGAAGCAAGACGAAGATGAAAGTTGATGGAGGGTCCAAGGCGTGAGACCCATTTTCAGCCCCCGCTGGCTATCTTGATAGAATCAAGTACTCGCGATCGTCAGTCCGAGCTCGACTCGCTACTGACTAAGGACTCACGAGGAAAAATAAAGTCCCAGCTCCTTCTACATAGCTTGGGAGAATCAAACGCCACGCAGTTGATGTTTGGGTAGTGGGTGAACAACAAGACGATGGTACAAGTCATCCAGCAGTTCACTCACTACCCAAGATTACTTGGAAACATCCATCCTCCGTTGTTTTTCAGTTTGATTGCTTCTTGGACTTGATCGTCGTGATCATGATCCAGCGGTGTCTGTTAAAAGTCAACGTGCGATTGGACGGAATACTTGTGTGATGAGTATCCCGTAGATTCTGAATCATGCATGTCAGTTGTATGGTACGATGGCGTTGCTCCAGAACTTGCGTCCGTCACCACTGTTCTGAAAAAGGAGCAAACAAAACTAAGGGCGATTGAACATTGAATATCCGAGTCTTGACCCGCGGCGAAATATCATACGAATGCGCCACGTAAGTGGTAGATCGGTGTTCCTGCCTGGAATGGATGCAATTTGAAATTTTTCTCGGTGCTGCAGTACATGGTTTTCTGCTCCCATGCGGTGATGGAAGCCGATGGTGGGTGATAGAAGTAAGAACGAACGAAGAGGAAGAGAAAGCCAGATCAAGGTCGTTGACTCGGGTCCAAGGTGTCTTGTGAGTCATGGCCGACTTGTATGCGCCCCCTCTCTACGCCCGAGAATCCATACCATGGCAATTGTCATTTGAGGTCAATTTGCTATTGAGGAGGTCGCCGAGAAACAGGGAAGTTCTCCGATTCCTCATTGAGAAACTTGAACTACCTAGGCTGGGCACGAATTGCATAGTGTCGATGACCAGCTGGCAGCCCGGTGAAAGGCAGGAGTGCGCCATGTGGTAACACTTGCGTCCGCCAATAACCTTGCAATGGTGTGAGTGATCCACCGCCGAAGAGTCCTACTGGAGCTGGAGAGAGGTTAGGTCAAGTTGTATAAAACCGAACGAAGGCAAGTCACGGTTATTAGTCAGCGAGGATTGCGAAGGCCTGCGGCAGTGCGGCAATGCGGCACTAGTAACTACGCGTTCAGCTACATAGCACTTTCAGACCATGAACTCATTCAGCTGGTAAACCGTCGCATCCGAATGATTGGACTACTAGCCTCGACAGGTCGTAGAGGGCTCACTAACTCAAACCCATGCATTGCTCTCCTCCACCACACACCATCTTTTCAGCGAGGTTATGCCCTTTCTCGATTTCCTAACCGAAGGACCGGTTTTGGAAGGGCTCCGAGTTCAGGACGCAAACCTACCCAAGGAACCGTGTCGTCCGCTCAGGATGAGACATATGATTCTGCGTCATTTCGATTTACATACGAGTCACGGTCCTCTGCGGATGATTCGCAGCTTTGGGATGCGAGCCAGAGAACGCCCTCCAGTAACCCGGAGGAGGGTTTGAAGCACCTGTTACTAAATAATAATACGTTGGTAATAACAAGGCGTGTTTTCTTATTGAACCACATAGATGACCGTTCAACTAATTTTTGATGATTGTAGGAAGCTTGAAATGCTGAGCATATTCATGGGTTTTGAACAGTCGAATCGATATACTATTTGTACGTGATGCTCGAGTCTTATTGTCCATTATCCATCATCAACATTCGTTCTCGATTAGCGAACGAAGCTGGTGAACCGCTTGGTTACATTGCTGAAGAGCCACGAGGTGTCCTGTCGATGTTTGCCAGACAGATCTTCCGCACCCATCGTCCATTTCGTGCTCTAGTCATGGACCTCCACGGATCACCTATTCTCTGGGTGCGGTCCATAGCACTCCCTCCCCAGTTATAATAAATTCATTTATCCAATCCCGCAGATTCGCCGTCCATTCGCCTGGATAAACTCACGCATGTTCGTTCAACGATTAAAAGACCTTCACGAGTATACACCAGAAGGAGAACCTGTTCTAGATACCTTCGCAGAAGTACAACAGGAATGGCATCTTTGGCGAAGACGATACCATCTCTTTCTTCGGTAATGCAACGCATCCCTTTGTTTTGTCAGTACCGACTCCCGAGACTTGTGTCGTAGTGATCAGCCTAGGCGCATTCTATCTACCGCCTCCGAGCCCCAGCCCGAGCCTCCGATAGATTCATTCACCCAATTCGCAAAGATCGATGAGGGGCTCTGGGCGTGGCACTTTAACATGCTTGATGCGCGTGGGACACCTATTGCGTCAGTCAATAGGGCATTCCGCGGCTTTGGAAGAGAGGTAAGTTAGATGCCCATATCCTTCTCAATATCGTTCAGGAGCTCAACGGTTTCGCAGATTTTCACTGATACAGGTTCTGAACATGCCATGTCCTGAGATGCCAATCTTACTGATGTGATGGGGACGTGTTGCGGTTGATAGGACAATATCTCGTGACTTTTGACGCCACGCGCCAAGACGGATCCGAGACGCCAGAGCGGCCCACGGTGATCAGGAATCTCACTCTTGACGAGCGTGCTGTAAATATATCTTGGTTGTTTCATCATTGTCATTTTTCTGATTCTTTTCTTTTACGCGGCTACAGCTCGTGCTTGCGGCAGCAGGTCAGTAGCTCGAGTATTTTAATGGAGTTGGATACTAATTTCTGGCAGTTAACATCGATTATGATTATTTCTCGAGACATTCGGAGGGTCATGGATTGGGGTTCCCGTTGTTGTGGAGTTCGGGGGAATGAAGGTATTCGGTCACTGTATTGCATTGCTTTATCATAGAACAAGTATCGAGGGAATTACAGTAATTCAGTTCAGTACCCTTCCCTACGCACTCACCATGTTCTGTATTAGTTCCTGGAGGCTAACAAGAACGAGCGACAAGCGTGCTCGACGTTTCTGTTGCGATGAAGGCAGAATCGTTCGTAGTACTCAGCTGTAGCCCTAATACATGAGTGAAGTGAACTCCATTACATCGACTAGTTGGATTCATAACAATGTCATCTGCAGCTCCGCATTTATAGTGCCCTCGTCATCTACATATTCCGTATTACTACAACAGCACGATGACAAGTCAGTTCAAGTGATTAGGAAGAAGTGCGAAATGCCTCCTCGATTGATAAACAAACTTACTTGTACAATACCCAATCGCCCACCTCATCCCATATGTTCCAAGTCATTTTTGGAGGCTTGAATTCAATGCCCTCGGGGGATCTATTGTAGACACCAACGGAAGCACAAGGAATGAAGTTCATTGTGAACATCAGACAATCAGCACACCAGAATCCATGGAGTCACAACAAATTCAACCTACTGCGAGGGTACAAGGGCCTGACAATTTGTATCTGTCAATGATACTGGAATTTTCAGCGCTTTAAGTGGGGCTGCACGACCAGGTTTCCGGCTATGTGCCTCGATCAAAAGTACAGCGTTAAAACGCGCTTGATAGCTATCCTGACTGAGACCAATAGCGGTACGGCATGATCCATAGCCAGGCTCTGGTATGTAGAAGCTAAACCACCATATGCGTCCTGCAAGGGATACCATCAGATCAATGAAGGAACAAAGCGAGAGACTTGGAACACACACACCCTGCGACAAATTCGAAGCGCAGACTTTTGTCAGGAGCAGTGCGCAGGCGTTTCTGGAACATCCTGATTGGAAAAACAACATCGAACTGCTTGATGGATTTGTCGTATGCATATACCTGGATTTCATCTGGTTGACATCCTAAAAAGCATCTCGAACGCCTGTCTTCACTAACTAGTATCCAAATGCATCAGCGGGTTAGATCGTGCTACAGAGTGCTACGGAGCGCTTCGTAGCACTCTGTAGCACGATCTAACCCGCTGATGATCAGTGGTTTCTCCGGTGGACATTGCTGTGTACTACTTACAGTTTCCAAAATTGAGCTCCTTAAACATTGAATAGTCGTTGATTATCATGCAAGCAATGCGCAAATCAGAAGAAACAGAGGGACTCGTGCCGGAAATGAAGTGGATAAATGCCCAAAGAGCATGATGCCGATTGTTCACAATTGCCCAATACGGTGCTGTGTGGCCTTCGATATTGAGTTGTGTCAGGAGTTTGGAGAACTCGGTAGCTGGGAGAGCGGCAGCGCAGGCAATGACATTTGGAACCACAGAAGAAGGGATGTAGTCAGGGGCTAAGACGATGTCACGGATGCGGGATAGAACAGCTGCCAGTGCACGTTTCTTCTTCATGAGACCAAAGGAAAATATAGATGATTTATCGCATTGAATGGGTTTTGCTAAGATTGTGTGATACGAAGGAGGTGTACTGCTGTCATCAGCGACTTTGGAATCGGTAGCCACTGATGTTGCTGGTAGGAAGATTGAAATAGGGGGTCAAATATAACATTTCCCATATCGAATGTGTTGCCAAAGTCGGATGCGAATTTGACATAAATCGTCTTTCTTACTCTCGTAGAGTCCCGGCGCTGCGTGTAGAGGCCAGGAGTGCAGTTCGTTGGGTCAAACAGGACATCTGAAGATGGTTGAGTGAGATTACCGGGGCCGAATATATACGTAATATGGAACGACTCGGAGATGTGACTCCGAGCAAATCCAGCTCAGCACCCCTTCCCTACGCACTCACCATCATATCCGTCTTAGTTCCTGGAGGCCAACAAGAACGAGTCACAAGCGTGCTCAACGTTTGTGTTGCAAGGAATGCGGAATTCGCTCGTGATGATACTCTTATTGTGATACATACTTTATTGTGAGTGAATGAGTTCCATCATGTACATTGACTGGCTGTCACCATCGAATTCATAACAATGTTATCTCCAGCTTCGCGTGTATGGTACTTCCGTGGTCTACGTATTCTGGCTTGCTACAACGACACAATGACAGTCAGTTCGAGCAATTAAGGAGAAGTGTGAGAAATGCTTCCTCACAGACTTACTTGTGCAATACCCAATCGCCCACCTCATTCGGCCAGTAACTTCCAGATCAAGTCATTGGTCCAGATAATCTCGGGTGTAGCAATTCCGCTGTCCTTCTTCTTCCCTCCCATAGGGGGGTCGTGTGCGGTTTGCGGTGTGCGACGTGCGCACCTAACTTTGAGCGTCCCTAATTTGAAGTTCTTTAGGTGGCAATGGATACGTGTCAAGCCTCTCAGCTTATAAAGGGGGTCGTCGATATCTGTGAAAACCATACAAGTGTCACTATCGACATGTCCTTACTTCAGCACACCGGTCCATCAACGCTTTACACGGAATTAGCAGAGTTACCCCTTCCTGTGTCTGCTGATTTCGTTGGCGGCGGATGGTGCGTCTACTAGTTATATAGCCAGAAATCGATGATTAGACACCCGAACAGTTCCACGCGTCACTTACACCATTCGCGATCATGAGCGTAATATCACACGATCCCTCACCAAGACTTTCCCTGAGGGCATCGGTTCTGATCATCAGACAACATCCCATGATTCCTTCGAAGTTAAGGCATTTAGAACATCTCCTTCCAAGTCTCGTCAGGCTGTCCTCCGAGAGGTTGCTCATGGCACAAGTACGAAACGTTTCGTCGAAATCTGGGCCGGCATCCAGATAGAGGCTTCCTTGGATGTCACAAAGTACCACGACTGCTTTCCATACAGATGGTGAGTTAAATAACCAGCGAATGTCCTTGAATATTTGCAAATTGGATGTCAGATTTCACATCATCGCTCTCCTTCTCCCCATCGGAAAAATCCCTTCTATATACCGCCGAAGCAATAATCGGCGATGATAATGCTTCAGACGATCCTTATCCCAAATTCAGATACACTCCGCACTTCGGCGAACTATCTCGCTGACAAGAAAGCACCGATCATTTTTCTATTCCGCTGGACAAGGTCCACAGCCTTCACCAAGGCTACTAAGCAAGATATGTTACTCGTTGCCCTTTCGCTGGCACAGCCTACCCAAGCACCCGTCCTGTTTGGCCAAGCTACTTTTGCGACAGAAGATATCATCTACACCAGTGGATACGAACACACCAAAGACGGTCGACTACTGGGGATTAAATGGTGCTTCAATCGCCCCATGGGTATATGGGAGATTAAACTCCCCGAGTCAGCGACCGTGCAGGGGACAGCTTTGGTGCTAAAGTGTCATGCAACGCATTGAAGCTGACACCGTCAGAACGGTCTTGTCGTTCACCTCGTGTATTATATGATAACAATCAGACACCTACTAAACTCTTCTGGTTCTCGAATCCTGTCGGCGGCCCCCACGCATCTTGCGTGTCTCTGGAATCTCGTGATCTAACTACAGGTACCAACAAGGTCCTCGTGGATACCGTAATGGAGCCTACCCCCGAAACCGATTTTCCAGGTCTATATCCCAATTATAACATGCCCTCCAGCCCGTTTTTACGTCGCGGAGACCATACATACATCGTACTCCACTCCTTATGGCGCTCTCGTGCGACGATCCTCTTCATCGATACAGAATCAGGAGCAATTTCGGACGAGACAAAAATGCGAGATGGTGAACCTTTGTATAACTGGGATTTACATGCTACGGACGACAAGACGCACTTCATCTGTTCAAGGAGCACGCCTACTACCCCACACGAAGTATTACTAGGGTACTTCGATGAACACGACAACCTCAATTGGAAAGTTCTAGATAAGCCAATGATATCTTTCGCAAGCAAGTTCAAGTCAATTTGGATTCTTGCCAAGTCTAATCATGCCTTTCAGCTGAGAACGCACTCCGTGATCTCACTGCATCGATCATACCAATTGGCGCGCGTCCTCCAACAGAGACTATTGTAATTCAGTCGAAGAAAGCTTCCACAAGACCTGGCCCAAAACCTATCTGCGTTACCATTCCACATGGAGGACCACATATATCAACGACAACATCATTCTACCCAGCTACTGCTGCACTAGCCTTGGAAGGATGTAAGTCTTTTTGACTTCGCGCTTACTCGCCACTTAGAGCAAGCATGCTCGCAGATACAATTTCCCTTCCCAACTATACCGGTTCCATGGGATTCGGCGAGAAGTACATCCAAAAACTTGTCGGGCACTGTGGAGCAATGGAAGTACAAGACGTCGTAGAGAGCGTCAACGAGCTCATCCGTCTGGGCATCTCAGAGCACGGACGACAAGTCATTCAAGGTGCAAGCTACGGCGGTTTCCTCGCCGCGCACCGTAAGACTCCATTTCAACAACAAAACTCTTTTTCACACTGACACCGACATACAGTGATCGGCCAATACCCAACCCTATTTAACGCAGCAGTGATGCGCAACCCCATAACTAGTTTTGGCGAACTAGCGTCCGACATCCTCGACTGCGCCTACACTGAATTCGGGCTTCAATTTACCCCGGACTCGCTCATGACACCCGCCATATTCCAACAAATGTTCGAAGCGTCGCCTATCGCGCACGTCGATAATGTACGCGCGCCTGTATTGTTGTTGATTGGAGAAGACGACCTGCGTGTGGGACCGGCACAGGGGTTGAGATTTTATCATGCGCTCAAGGGCAGGGAAAGGAGAGTGGAAATGTTGTGGTTTAAGGGGGAGATGCATTTACTCAATGGTATTGAGGCGGCAAGGGTTTCATTGGAGGCTGGGAGGGATTGGTTTAAGAATCTGGGGCAAAACCCAGTTGACTGATGATGTGGAGGATTTGTTATGTGGCCAACGTGTGAGGTGCGGGACGTGAGCAAGGAGGATATGTTTGGGATGTTCAGGCTGGAAAGTGCCTCGCGTGTTCACTCCATTCTGTATATGTATTAGTTCGTACCGGCAATGCGAAATCATCGCGAAAATTTTATTACTGTAAGTTATAACAAATCGAGATAAACTGTCCACAGGCGAGCGGACTGCATACAGTAAAGGTGGATGCAAGTCACACATCATGAGATGTGGTGATGGTGTCTAAGAAAATATCAGCCAGTATGCATAATATGATGGTCAGAACGGTAAAGACAATGCAAAAAATGAAAAGTCCAACACTCCTAGTGAGTTCCCAACTTATGAGTGCGAAGGTGACCATCATAGAAGGACCCGTGGAGGCGTTGAATATGATACCGACAGACAGCCATAAGAGAGGGAACACAGGTCGATAAGGGACATGGGGATTAGTGAATTAACTCGAAAATGATACTTTGACTTACTTGTAAAATGACCCGTAATCTGGGGATGGTACAGATGGTGTGAACGAGTGAGCCGGATGACACAAAGGCCGTTACTAGAAACGCCTTGTAGGAGGCGGTAGACGTCAAAGGGTGCGGCTGCGTGAAATGCGCTGATGCTATGAACAGGATGGAGCCAAATAGGATGATCGCCGACAATGTGAGTTGCATCCTCAACCGCCTTTCCGCCCGGACAAGAAAAGCCTCCCAGCGGTCCTGAGGTTGCAGCTCGAGTCCCGATGGCAGCGAGACTCCCAGAGCTAAACTTGTCACCAAACGTTCCCTCTTGATCTTGGCCTCCTGCCTCTTGACGTCGGCGTCTGTCTCTAGTGCACCCTCAGGTTTGTCCTTGCCTTCCCGCTTCTTGACGGAGGTGTTGCTGGCGGACAGCAGTAACTCGGACGCTGACATAGTGGTAGATGAATGCATTTTTGTAGCCTTTATAGGGGTGTGTGGGCACGGCGGGCAACGTGAAGATGGCGGGAGAGGGGAGAGGTTGATGCGGTGGGATGGCAGGAGGCTAACACTAGATTATGACATAATACGGCTTGATGGGTCCAGATCTTCTTGTGATCGGAATACAGTCGACTTCTTCGTGGGGTCCCGCTGCATGTAGAGAACAGGATGAGTACCAATGCGGCTCGTTGGTCAAATAGGACATCTCGAATTTATCATGAAGGCTTATGGGAGTGAGAGTCACCGGAGCCGAATATATACGGAATATGGAACGACTCGGAGCAGAAATTGGATCCGAGCAGATCTAGTACATCGCCACCCATACGAGGCACGAGGCACACAACCCGAAGGCTAAGAATTCCACGACCTTTTTAACCCACGGACACAATGGTGCAGTGGGAACGCAATACAATCTTCCCCAAGTGCGACAACAGTGACACAGCAAATGCAAGGTACACCGGTCCCGCTTGACGTCGAAAGTTACCCCGTCACACCAGAAGGGTTGGACTTAGAGCAAGTCCACATATACGTGAGGCATGGTGCGTCGAGTTCGCGTTCGCGTCAAGTCGTGACATCGCTCATACATGCTCTACTCTAGGCGAACGTACGCCGGTCAGAGTGCGCATGTCGGATCCTCCAGCATCCATACCAGCAGACTGGCAGATGTGCGACACTGCGAAAAGCTTTCACGAGACTGTAGCTGGACATGTCCCTACCGTAGATGACGGATTGTGGTATAGGAAAGTTGTCGAGAACAGGCATGGCAAGACAGCTGAGGGATTATGGTACGTTGATCTGCGTGTATGGTTGCTCGCGATACACATGTTTTAATACGGTATATAGTCTCCTGGGGGAGCTCACTGATATTGGGAAAAAGGTGAGAGGGTTCTATGCGACACCTGATTGCTTGGCTTACGCGTCTGAGAACAGTCCACATATTCCTTCGGGACGGCATTGCGAAGCCTTTATGTAGATAGGCAAGCATTCGAGTGCCCTTCTTGCAAAATTTATCTCACTCCTATCTTTCCGAAGATTGAAATTTCTCCCCCAAAAACTCGAGGACGAGCGTTTGACTTACTTCCGGTGAATCTATTCACCATCCCTTTGCGACTCGTCATAAAACTCACACGCGCAGCTCTACGAACATCGCACGGACGATCGAATCTCTGCAGCACATAGTCCACGGAGTGTACCCTCCATCTACCTGCGCTCCAGGCACGATACCCTCTATCATCATACGGTACGTTTTCGCATAGGTCAGAGAAGTTAAGTGCACACTCATTATTCGCGGTGTCTTTGCTTTCAGTAATGCAATCGACGAGAATCTCGTCAGCAATACCTTAGCCTGCAAGCGACTGGCACTCTTAGAATTGAAGTTTGCTGAAGGTAATCTTTTCACTAGTATTCTGCAGATTAGTCTGATATGGTCCAGTTGCTGTTGCTGTTTGGAACCCGCGTTTAAAGCCATTGGATATGAAAGTCTCCAAGTACATAGGCGGTATGCCGTTACGCCTTGATGGAACTCCTCGAGCTTCGGGGATTCTTGATACAGTATGTTTTTCAGGGCAGGACAGACGCAGCTGACCTCAGTTCTTTTCCAAAAGGTACGCTCGGCAGCTGCTCACGGTTTCCGAGTTCCACCAGAATTCATGGATGATGATGTTATTGGTTTAATTGTGCGATCATTTCATCCTCTCATCGCATTCTCCGCTCACTTGTGATCCCTAGGAATCAGCTGTAACAGCCGAGTGGTTCAACAGTAAGCCCCTAGTCAATTATTCTACATCCACACACTGAGCATTGATCGTTGCCCTCTAGTTTGTAAGGATGCTTCCTTACGTTCACCGAAATTTCAACTCAAGTTCTTCTATTGATCATTAGTCAAATCAGAAGATGGCCGCCGACTAGGAATGGGTCGCCTCCTCGCCGGCGCTTTCAGAAAAAATGCGACGCAAGGCCCAACCCGATTCAACAGGACCCAACTAAACTTCTCGTGCACTCGACGCACGACTTCGACGCTTGCGGCGTTGCTCTGTACATTCGATTTATTCGATGACAAGTGCGTTTATGCCACTACCTCTTATTTTCATGCTCATCTTCGCGCGTGCAAGGTGGCCGCCATTCACTTCATCAGTAACATTTGAGCTCTTCCGAAAACGAACTCCGGCTTCAGGCCTCCGCGCACTTTCATCAGTTTGGAGACGACAAGACGAACATTGTGAGTATCAAGATGCGTTCTGAGAGATCACTCTCGATAAACTTTGTCCCCTTCTTTGCTAAACATAGATGTCCGCATGCGCTACAAGAACAAGAACATGGTGCTTCCGATGTGCGCCGAGGAGGGGAAACATTTACCGGGCTCGCCAGAGTTTTGTACGTTGGAGGCATTTCAGCGGAGAGTGGAGGAGTTGACGCCTAGGGATTGGGCTGAAGAGTGTCGGACGTGAGCGTGGTACTAGCGTCATTGCTGGCTGGCGTATCGTTTGGTATCTATTGATGCTTCTTCTAAATCTAAATCTCTTAAGTATATAAGCACGCATAACCGGCATGTTGTCCGCTACGTCATGTCGTTGCATTCTCTTTCTTTATGATTTATGAAGTATTTATATTTTTGGCAATAAATTGTATCCGCACATAGCCGTGGCACATCGACTGGAATTCCGAAATAGCAGATAACAACACCCATTGGACCCCGTGACGTAGGCAATGTTTATAAATTTACATCCAACTTAGCTTTGTGTCCTGACTCTACCCCAGTGATGCATCAAGCTTTACTTGTTCCCGAAGTCCTCCTGGAGATATTCGCCTATCTGAACACAATACCGTCTAAAACAACATCGACCCTGAAATTGTTTGCAGCGCTTGCAAGGACATGCAAAATCTTCTACGAGCCTGCGATGGATGTGCTGTGGACTGAAATCCATGGGTTAGAACCACTGCTAGGCTGTGTAACAAGGTTACATCCACTGATAGATCGTAGGGGTACAATGGTCAGTGCACGGCTTCATTACACTTTGTTCTTTTCCTTTTGGCTCACCAAGCGTCTACATAATAGTGGGACTGTGACCAGTCCTGGGCAAAAGGTGTTGAGCCATTATCTGCCCGCGAGGTCCATCAATTTCTGCGTCACTCCTTCCGTGTACGCGCATTGAACATACAATCTTATCATCCGCACCTTCTCTCTGTCATCCCCGCCGAGGCATACGTATTTCCGAGGCTGAAGTCATTAAGTCTTTCCATCACATATTTGAACCTCTTTCTGCCTCGCATGCTGCACCGATGTCATCTATCGAGCGTTGATGAGGGTTTGCAATCTTTTGTGACACGTTGCATTGCTTTGGAGCATTTATGCATCCACCGTACTCCCGGAATACACGATATTGGCAACACAGCAAATGAGCTGTCCCTACTATCCGATAGGATTCGTTGGTGCACGCGGCTTGTAACTCTCTATTGTCCGATGCTCGACTGGGAAACATGGAAGCATCTTTCCCACCTCCCTACCCTTCTCAAATTGGAAATTGATCGAGGGCCCGAGTACGAGGACCCTCCTTCGCTGTCAAACCGAGATCTTGTGAATTTATCATTCCTGAACATCACGAGCCTTTCCTTTCTACAGCTGTACAATTCTGCAAACATCATCATCGTCATGCAACACTCGCAATTTCCCTCGCTGAAAAACTTCAAGTTTCAAGCCTTCTATCTGTCTTTGGAAGAGGCCGAGCAACTCTTGCATGCTCTGTCCCACTGCAAGGCGTGTCGGACTCTAGAAGAAATCATCATCTGTTGTCTTGAAGTCAGACGCGAACTTGAATACCCCGAGTTTTTGACACCAACTCCGCATCTCCTTTGCTTTACACAGCTCCGAACCCTGCAGCTCATGTTTACTGATTTCTACATCTACCTAGACAATGACCTGCTCTTGCAAGCTATGTCTATTTGGCCGCACATCCGCACTCTAAAAATCAACTACTCAGACGCCAGTATGTCTTCTTCCGGCTCGGAGGTCACCCTCCATGGATTATTCACAGCGCTCAGTCTATGTCCACATTTGCATACACTACAAGTTCCAATCAATACTGCAATTATCGACGTTGATCCTGATGCCGAGCCAATGCAACATATTTCCCTACGATCATTGGAATTGGAGACATCAGATCCTGAAATAGCAGATGCAGATGCAGAAACTCTCGCTGGCATCATTTCCGCCTGGCTCCCTTGTATCGACCGAGTTCGAAACATGGGTAGGAGTTGGCATGAAGTCAACGTGCATCTTATATCTTTGAGAGCGGCTACTGCACCGTATGACGTGGAAGCCTCCTAGAATAATTGAGTTTGGAATATCTTCACGTCCGGGAATGATGTTACATACTTCAAGTTCTTTCGTTCATTCATTGTCGTTGTCGTCGCTGTTGACTGTAGTTGTAAACTGCTGTACTAGTTAATCTATATTCCGCGCGCTGGCCTTTGTTTGCCTCACTAGGTCTCCACAGTATTTAAGCACGAGATACCGCCAGCTCAGGGGCAATTGTATCTACCAGGTCATGCTGTGTCGCTGCATGTTTGATATCCTTTCTGTTTCCTATTTGCTCTTCTTTCATTCACTACTATGGCGACATCCGCTTCATTTCACGGAGTTGTTGAGGGCACCTGGTTTCTCGAAAGTCCGGTCTGTCCGTCTGTCCGTCTGTCTGGTCCGGCCGGCGGCAAATAACTTAGCACCAAACATAGCATTACATTTGTTGGTATACTACCCTGTATCAATCAATTCTTCAGTTGTTACAATGGTCGAGCTTGCATGTATAGGCCAAGCACTTTCAAATATTCATGGACTCTCACTCGAAACTATTCTGACCTTTGTCACCTTGGCCTCTGCCGTCAAGCAAGACGTGATATTAGCTCAACCTGCAACATATGATGTGTCTACACCTCCGGACTTCATGCCTCCTAGCATGTCTTTATTTTTGGGCTCTGCATGCTCCCTGACACAAGACTTGGTGCGAATCTGCTGGTCTGTCTTAAAACATGATATCTGGCAAGACAGATTCACACTGCAGCACAACACCCACTCACTTTTCGAGCAATTTGGTTATTGCCATGGCCTGGGTCAGTGCCGGTGTGAATTGACTCGAGGCTATGTACTGATCAAGGACCATGTAGCTTACAAGATGTTCTACCCTCCATTCAAGATGTGTACAGAAGCAACTTGTGAACGACGAGCAAATGGGCTACTTTTGAACAAGGTTGAACAACTCCGAGTTGTGTATGTGAGTCTGGAACATGGGACAATACCTGCCTATGATGTTGCAATGCAATGCGAACGTGCGTGTTACATCCATCTCATTGTCACTGACCAGAGTTAATGTTGAATGCACGCCAGGCTGCAAAATCACTTATCACCACAATTACAAAGTTTGCAACAAGGACCATATCTACTATGACCACATGGAAGGACTGCCTGACACCATTCAAGTTGGTACGCACCACTATGTCGACATTGCAGTGGGTCAGCTCTGGAAGACGATGATGCACGTTGCTTGGTATGTTTACATTGTTGCACTGTCTAAGTCTGAAGTCCAGTTACTGAGACCTACATCTCAAGCACATCGGCAACTAACTGCGCCCGAATATACAACTCTTCAGTCAGTCGTCAAAATGAGTTTCCCCTTCAGTGGCCTTCATCTGAGGTCACACTGGACCATGTTTGGGATATTTTCATAATCATCTCTCTTCTTGAGGACTGCCGTCATCACAAGCACTCCCTCATCGTCAAACAGACCGGGACTCAATCAGAGCGGTTCAATGATGCCATGGCACATCGCAACCAGTGTATGCATTCCTTTGGGCAGCCTGATGCTCGTCATCACAAATGCATCAAGTGTTGCCGTGTATATGAAGCTTCTACTGATGCAGGTCCGTCCTTCCATAAATCAAACTGTTGATGATCTCATTGACATATTTTTCTTTCTTTGCAGCTGCACAATTTGTTCGCGTTGTTGTTGATGGGGTCACAGTCAGCAGACCATGCTGCTCAGTTCCTTACTGCTTTGAGTCTCTGCGGTCAGTAAACGACTGTTTTTGTCATTTGCACATGGCAGAGCACGTGAACCAGTGCGCAATCATCAGCTGCACCACCAGTGTCACCCCAGGCAGCAAGACATGTCAAGACCCCGACCACAAGGCTGTTGAGGCGCTGCACACCTTGCACGGTCAATCACACTTCCAGCTTCGTGAACGACTTGAGCGGTCTCGTGCCATCGTGGACAATCTGTCTCGTGTGGTTCCTAAGAGTGTTGTACCTGTTGAGCTAGATGGCGATATATTGGACGAGGGCCTGCAAGAATTCGAGGTGGATCACAGTCAAGATCACCCACCAGCACTGAAGAAGAAAAAGAAACTTTGAGCTCAGTTTGGATGCAACCGCACACACTGTGAGGTGCTGATTGTTGCTCCATGTGGAATTATACATGACCGACGAACATTTTACTGTGCCGAAGGTATCGGCAGTGTTGCAGTATGTTCTCTTCCATGTCGTTGGCTGCAGCTGCTCAAATTCATTGCAGGCATTCATCAAAGAAGCCTTTCCAGATCCACTGACAAGACCATCACATATCTTTTATGATAACAACTGCCATCTTGCTCAGCACGTCAAAGATGACCCGTTCTTCAGCGATATCGGCTTATCCGTCGACGTCTTTCACTTCAATTGCAAGCACTCCGAGAATGACCTCTTTTGCCAAGAAAATTGCAACCCCATGGCATTCCTGGAGCTTACAGTTGATGGTGATGGGAAGTGGTACTTCAACTTGTCTGTGTGCGAGCAGACAAACTCGTGGTTTGGGAAGTTCAACTCAATCACTCGAGGGATGAAGCCCATCAAGTTTGACTTCTACCTAGATGAGGTCATCCTGTGCAGGAACCGCCTTACATTAGAGAAGTTGAAGAGGGAGCACCAGAGGCCATCACAGTGGGAGTCAATTGAATCCTCAGAGGGTGTTACATCATCCTAGATAGTTGCACATACTCGAACTCCCACTCCTCGAGATTCCTCCAGGAATACCACATATTGGTATGGTAATACCTTTGTGCCGTTCTATTGATGCATTGTTGACTTGCTCGATGTGACCGTTGTAGAGACTCGTGTGTCTCATGGTCTGATATGACAGCTTTACACTAGGAAGTACATAGCATGAACTTGTAGTGTCACTCTGTGCGCTACCCGCAGCTATCTCTATATGAGGCGCAGCTTTCCCGCGCAACGCGCGCCATGCGCGCACCATTCCCGCGCTTCACGATGTATGCGCGCGCGCGTGTTCCCGCGCTTGCGCGCCCTTTAGCGCTAGCCATCCAGATGCATCCATCCACTGTCCACCAAGCTCCCTAGTACGTATATTTCCATTTCCTTTATTAGCATAGTTCCACCTTTATTTTTATCATGGATTCTCACTCATATATATCTTTACATACCTACTCGGTAGCACTTCGGCTCCGCATGACCGCGCTTAGGCGCGCTATATAAGCGCCAGCAGTACATACTACACTTTACCTTACTTTACCTCCCATTTACTTATTACTACTTACTTACTACTTAGCAGAACATAGTAGAACTCTATCTGTTTACACCTTGCATCTCTCTTCTCTTATCTAGTATCATATCATCACTTAAGTCTAACCTCTCTGTTGTTTCTGCATACGCACGCACGCTTTCCCGCGCTTCGCGCTAATACGCGCGCGTATTCCCGCGCCTTGCGCGCATCTGCGCTTTCTCGCGCTTCGCTTCAGCGCGTACCTGTAGATCTTCGCTGCACTCGCTTCCCCTATAGGGTCGAACGCACTTGCCATCTCAAGTATCGCAGACTAGGCAACGCACGACCTACAACATTTATAGATACAGCTAGGAGCTATCTTTGTTCCTGGCAGTATTGTTGTTTCTACAGCGAATCAGAAAAACATGCAGCACTTTGCAGGTTTGTTGTGTGTACTCTTGCCAGAATCAGTTTTTATGCACTAGGATATCATGTCACCATCAGGGAACAAACAGAAAGAAGAGAGTAAAGCGATAGTGGACATACCTTGACCATCCACCTGCCTTGATTGCCATTCTCGATACTACGGCATTTGAACCAGTGCAGCTTATCACCACACGTGTCACACTCTACAGTCCAATCAGGCTCAGCACCATCGCCTGACTCGCCTGATGCCGACATTACTTGAGTCTTTACAAAGACATGGGCCCAGGGCGAGTATCGATTAGCTAAGACAGAAACCTGTGTTGAGACCACAGCGGTTAGTTAGGTATGAAAGAGGGAACAAATGATGAACTCACTTTGAAAAAGATACAGACAAACATACCACCAGGGTCGGGAAAGAAAGGGTAGTGATGTGGACCAAGAAACCAAGAATGAAGCGGGCAAGAAGGGCAGGCGTTGGGAAAAAGGGTAACAAGTGAGAAGAGCAGGAAAGAGAAGCAAGGATAGGTTGATTTGGACCGGCAAATGTTTATATACTATATGTTGAGCAGGAATTCTGGTGCTGCATGGCGGAAGCTTGTGTCCCCAATGACATAGTAAGTTTGGCATTGTGTGCCACCCATGGGAGACAGAGCCATACTGAGGTGACATGGACGGACGGACTTCCTGGACAGATGGACCCGCCGGACTTTCGAGAATTCCGGTATCTTGGAGTTGTTGGTCTTCAAAATGGAAGTCGATATCAGATTCCCCAGGTCTGAGTTTCTCTTGCCAGATACTCGCGCAGATCATGAGTTGCTATGTCAGCCCGAAATCGTGAGCATCCCTAATTTACATCAATCACGAATGATTCAATTGACGAGAATCTGCAGAATCTTATTTTAGTTCGGGCAGCTTAAAGGAAGCAGAGCACGCTCCAATCAACGGACCAGAAAACATGCCAGATTATCTAGCGATGTTGACTCACCCTAGAGTACCTCATTGCCCAAATCTTAAATAAAATTGCATTTGCGCCATTTAACGAAACATCTTGGTAGAAAAAGGACTGGTCAGAAATGTGCGCGTGCGCGTCACCGCACTTCACCATCGATTCGTCAAACGAAGAACAGGTCTGTGCAAAAATCGTGTTTCCTCACTTGCTACTGTACATACAATTTGCCGTCGAAGAGAAGACCGAAGGCGTGTCCTCATGATACCAAAATTTTAAATTACATTGGATATTTGTACACTTTCACTCAATGTTCATTCCAAATGCGAGGAATGCTGGTTGTTCAAGCATATCCAGTTCTTCCGGGGACAATTGCGAATGCAGGGCCCCCCTTCACAAACATCTTCCATATATCTTGAGCAAGCTCTTCCGGGACTTCAGTGGCAGCAAAATGGCCTCCTGTCTTATGATGGGACTCAAAAACAACGTTGTGCGACTTGCACAGCCACCTACAAACTCATATTAGCTTCAGCAAAGTTGATTGATAGAAATGCACACTGTGGGCAAAACTATAAGTTCCTTCGGGAAAAACGATGCTCCCATAGGAATAGTAGGACTTTGGCCTAGATCCTCGCAATTGCTACGCAATTCAAAGTAAATGCGAAGGGAGGCAGCGGGTCCGTTGCGGGAGAACCAGTACAATGAGATCCATGTCAACACTATTTGGAACAGTTGAGCGATATCCGAAAAAGCAATATTGCTGTTACCTTCATCATCAGACCAATTGTAATTGTCGGTCTAAAGAACCAGTTTCTCATAGATCCAGGCAAGCAGGCCAACAGGGCTATCGGCGAGACTGTAACCGAGTGTCTGCGGCTGGGTGCTCTGTTCGTGGTAGTAGCCTTGTCCTTTGGTTTGGAACCATGTGGTACGTTCGATGCCTGCTTTTTCTTCTGTAGACCATGGCGTTAGCAAGAAAGACAAGAAAAACAGGGGCAATCTCCAGCTCGGTGGTTTGGGACTACATAGACGAGAATGAGTCAAGGTGTGTGCGGAGCGAGAAAATGACATACAGTGGAGAGTTGGTATGCCATGCCTTGAGATGCCTCCCACCATACACAGAAGCCATTCTCCTGGTAATCTGAGGATATATTAATGATAAGTCAGGTCTACTTGTAAAATATGACACACAAGGCTACCCCAGTCACCTCCATGGGTAACTGTAAGAGAAATGAATAGATTCGTTGATCCATTTGAGGAATTACTCAGTAACGTACCATACTCGTTGTACCTGAGAGCGAGCATGAGTTTGTGAGCTACCTGGGTACACAGTCAATATGTAGAGAGATTAGAATTTGTAACGAATGGTAGTCACCTCAGCATACTGATCAATAGCAAAGCCTTGTTTGTGGGGAGCCTCCGAAAAGCCAAAACCAGGCAAACTAAGCACCACAACATGAAAGCTAGGATGTTCAGGGGCCGATGAAGTCAGGAAGGGCAAAATCTTCCCAACTTCCAAGAAGCTTCCAGGCCCTAGTTAAGGTCAAAATATGTTGGTCTGCAAGCATGCAAATTGACATACATCCGTGGCAAAACAACAGCGGAATAGCATCAACAGTTTCGCTCTTCTTGTGAACATAATGAATATTCAGCACGCCAAAACCATCCACGTCAATATCGCATGTGAACATTGGCAATTGCTCGTTGATTTCTTTTTCATATTTGCGCCAGTTGTACGAGTTTTTCCACCTCTCTGTGAGCCGCTTTATGTCCGCCAGAGGTGCACCATACTTCCACCTGGCATCCTCCAATTCATTCGGGAAACTAGCAAGTTCAAGTTTAGCACGGAGGATAGTCAATTTCTCGTCGGGGATATCGATTTGGAAAGGAGTTTCAGATGTCATGGTGGTCGTGAGATGTTGTGGTTCAATAGGAGGTACTCCATAAGGAATAAGGAAACTTCCCACAGACCAGATATGAGTCCGCTGGTAGCTCAGCCCATCGCCAAGGTCACTAGCAAGGTCCGTCATCATAATCAAAATGTCTTTGGAACGTGGTGTTCGGTACATGACACTCCAAATTGGACCGTTTGAGTCTGTTGCATATTATAGACTTATAAGCAGTGTTCGACCATCCGGGCTCCAGCCGCATCTAGGTTTCAGTAATTAATCGGTTGCTCCACGGATTCAGTGGCCGTCGTACTTACCGCCATTCGCCCTCAGTCGACGGTAGGATGTTTTCTTACTGGTATTCTCGGCCAGAAACAAAGTAGAAAGGTTGACTCGTTTACTTCCTACCTCGCACTCTTGCAACGCAGCAGGAGGATATGTCGGGCCAATCGACTACTTTTTTGAATAGATGAGTTCCATCAGGCCTAGGTAAGGTTTTGAACTCCACCAGGATTGGACTGCATCAACACAATCATGTGACGGGCACCAACCTCTCTAATATGATAAAACATTGTGGCCAGGCTCAGCGCTCTTAAGGTTAGTAGAAAGTTTAATGGTCGTGCCATACCCTCAACTGACATGCATAAAACCTATCTGTGCTTATCAGCAATCCGAGCAGCGAAATACATCGATGACGCTTGCCTGCACGGCACGTATGAAGGGGAATCACTACGTTAATCTGGAACATCGATCTAAATGGCTATAATTCTAGACTGGCTTCGGACTTGCCAGTGAGAATTTGCCCAGTCTCGTGAACATTCAATATTTGTTTGCCATCTTTCTACAAAGCTTTATGAATACACTATGCAACCATGATGCATCATGCATGATGTCCGACGGGCCCCCAGGCTGATCTATTTCTGATCAAATGATTGATACACATCTGACCAACATATTTCAAACAGTCGCCAAAGATAAACAAGCCCTTCTTGCTTCTTCAAGAGTTGAATACGTGTAATGTGGACTGTGACTGTCCCCTGGGACCTGCACCCAATGTCGCAGTGTTTTGCCTCTGATTGATCCAGCAGATCTTGAAGTCTGGGATAAACCCTAGAAACATTGATGCTCGGGCTTATTCCACGCCCAAAATGGATATGGCATCGATGAGGAGGACAGTTGCAGTAAATGAAGGCAACAACATGCAAAGTGCTCATGAACACATTTCTTCGACCATAAAGGCTCGCTCATGAAGTCACAGAGCGAAGCGTGATAGATTTCAATGCATCCGACGCCATCAAAATGCTTCAAGCATCACAGTGAAGCTTGTTTTATCCGTATAGTTTCGCAAGTGGTAACGGTCTAGCTGGATGGATGATAGACACTAACATTCGGCAGTGCACAAGTGGATCCTCGGAGGTTGCAATGCACATAATACAGTAACTTATACCCGTCTCAGATGGACAGCCCAGAGTGACAATGTACCTATAGAGACGGGCCATCCCATGTGGGCCCATGGCAATAATTGTACCATGGTAGACGAGTGGGCCGAGTGAATGTGTGTACCCGAGACAAAGGGATGGGCCAAGGGTATATAGTATAGACAGTGATATAGAAATGTACTAGTATATAGGACATTATGAATGGTGAATCAAGTGTACAATGGAGACGGGTGGGCCGGACAAATGTGTGTACCCAAGGCAAACGGATGGGCCGGGGGTATCCAGTTCACAATGGAGACGGGTGGGCCAGACAAATGTGTGTACCCAAGGCAAACGGATGGGCCGGGTATAGTGGGTCCGGTTCATCTAGCATCAGGTGAATGGATCATCCGGTAGGTATATTATCAGGTATGTATATGATCCGGTAGGTATATATAATATACTACCGGCCGGTGCAATTTCAGGGGTGGTTTGGTTGTGTCAATCAGTTCATATTTGAGTGAGATATGGGCAATACAAAAGTCTGTGCTAATTGACTGGGCAGGTGGATATCAGGTTGGATTGACCAGCTCAGGTAAACCAGTCTATATGCCCTATTATACTACCGGCCGGTGCGATTTCATGGGTGGTTTGGTTGTGTCAATCGGTTGATATTTCATTGAGATAATGTCAATACAAAATTTGGTGCTAATTGACCGGGCAGGTGGATATCAGGTTGGATTGACCAGTTCAAGTGATCCGGTCCATATGCCCCAATATACTACCGGCCGGTGCGATTTCAGGGGTGGTTTGGTTGTGTCAATCGGTCCATATTTCATTGAGATATGGTCAATACAAAAGTTGGTGCTAATTGACTGGGCAGGTGGATATCAGGTTAGATTGACCAGTTCAAGTGATCCGGTCCATATGCCCCAATGTACTACCAGCCGGTGCAATTTCAGGGGTAGTTTGGTTGTGTCAATCGGTCCATATTTCATTGAGATACGGTCAATACAAAAGTTGGTGCTAATTGACCGGGCAGGTGGATATCAGGTTGAATTGACCGGCTCCAGTGATCCGGTCCATATGCCCCAATATACTACCGGCCGGTGCAATCTCAGGGGTGGTTTGATTGTGTCACTCGGTTGATAGTTGATTGAGATATGGGCAATACAAAAGTCTGTGCTAATTGACCGGGCAGGTGGATATCAGGTTGGATTGACCGGTTCAAGTAATCCGGTCCATATGCCCCAATATACTACCGGCCGGTGCGATTTCAGGGGTGGTTTGATTGTGTCACTCGGTTCATATTTCATTGAGATACGGTCAATGCAAAATTTGGTGCTAATTGACCGGGCAGGTGGATATCAGGTTGAATTGACCGGTTCAAGTGATCCGGTCCATATGCCCCAATATACTACCGGCCGGTGCAATCTCAGGGGTGGTTTGATTGTGTCACTCGGTTCATATTTCATTGAGATACGGTCAATGCAAAATTTGGTGCTAATTGACCAGGCAGGTGGATATCAGGTTGGATTGACCAGTTCAAGTGGACCGGTCTATGGGCCCCAATATACTACCGGCCGGTGCCATTTCAGGTATGGTTTGGTTGTGTCAATTGGTTGATTTTTGATTGAGATATGGGCAATACAAAAGTTGGTGCTAATTGACCAGGCAGGTGGATATCAGGTTGGATTGACCGGCTCCGGTGATCCGGTCCATATGCCCCAATATACTACCGGCTGGTGCAATTTCAAGGATGGCTTTCCACCGGTGGTCTGATCATGTAAAATGGTTAAGATTTGACAAAGTTAAGAGCCTTGCAAGAGTGTCATCAATTCAGAAGAGGATATGTTGTATCAGCTTTGCCACTGATATTTTTGCGACCGGTTGCTTGTGGTAATCACCGGAGCTGGTCAATCCAACCTGATATCTACCTGCCCGGTCAATTAGCACCAACTTTTGTATTGCCCGTATCTCAATCAAACATCAACCAATTGACACAACCAAACCATCCCTGAAATGGCACCGGCCGGTAGTATAATGGGGCATATGGACTGGTCGACCTGAACCGGTCAAGTCAAACTGATATCCACCTGCCCGGTCAATTAGCACCAAATTTTGCATTGACCGTATCTCAATGAAATATGAACCGAGTGACACAATCAAACCACCCCTGAGATTGCACCAGCCGGTAGTATATTGGGGCATATGGACCGGATCACTTGAACCGGTCAATTCAACCTGATATCCACCTGCCCGGTCAATTAGCACCAAATTTTGCATTGACCGTATCTCAATGAAATATGAACCGAGTGACACAATCAAACCACCCCTGAAATCGCACCGGCCGGTAGTATATTGGGGCATATGGACCGGATTACTTGAACCGGTCAATCCAACCTGATATCCACCTGCCCGGTCAATTAGCACAGACTTTTGTATTGCCCATATCTCAATCAACTATCAACCGAGTGACACAATCAAACCACCCCTGAGATTGCACCGGCCGGTAGTATATTGGGGCATATGGACCGGATCACTGGAGCCGGTCAATTCAACCTGATATCCACCTGCCCGGTCAATTAGCACCAACTTTTGTATTGACCGTATCTCAATGAAATATGGACCGATTGACACAACCAAACTACCCCTGAAATTGCACCGGCTGGTAGTACATTGGGGCATATGGACCGGATCACTTGAACTGGTCAATCTAACCTGATATCCACCTGCCCAGTCAATTAGCACCAACTTTTGTATTGACCATATCTCAATGAAATATGGACCGATTGACACAACCAAACCACCCCTGAAATCGCACCGGCCGGTAGTATATTGGGGCATATGGACCGGATCACTTGAACTGGTCAATCCAACCTGATATCCACCTGCCCGGTCAATTAGCACCAAATTTTGTATTGACATTATCTCAATGAAATATCAACCGATTGACACAACCAAACCACCCATGAAATCGCACCGGCCGGTAGTATAATAGGGCATATAGACTGGTTTACCTGAGCTGGTCAATCCAACCTGATATCCACCTGCCCAGTCAATTAGCACAGACTTTTGTATTGCCCATATCTCACTCAAATATGAACTGATTGACACAACCAAACCACCCCTGAAATTGCACCGGCCGGTAGTATATTATATATACCTACCGGATCATATACATACCTGATAATATACCTACCGGATGATCCATTCACCTGATGCTAGATGAACCGGACCCACTATACCCGGCCCATCCGTTTGCCTTGGGTACACACATTTGTCTGGCCCACCCGTCTCCATTGTGAACTGGATACCCCCGGCCCATCCGTTTGCCTTGGGTACACACATTTGTCCGGCCCACCCGTCTCCATTGTACACTTGATTCACCATTCATAATGTCCTATATACTAGTACATTTCTATATCACTGTCTATACTATATACCCTTGGCCCATCCCTTTGTCTCGGGTACACACATTCACTCGGCCCACTCGTCTACCATGGTACAATTATTGCCATGGGCCCACATGGGATGGCCCGTCTCTATAGGTACATTGTCACTCTGGGCTGTCCATCTGAGATGGGTGAAATTCACTGAATGG